TCATAATAACTTAGACAATCTCATTATTTTTTATTTAAGATTGATATAAATAACTATAATTTTTCCTTTGTTTTAGAATATTTTTGAGTTAATGAATCGAACAATTTATTTAATACCTTCTTAAATAAATTCAAAACGCCCTATATTTTACATTAGATTCTTATATTTACATCATTGTTCCTCAAAACTATATTAGTAAAAGAGTATTTCATGAGTCTTAAATAATGAACTAATTAAGAAATCTTTTTTTTGTTAAAAATTATTTATTACTTCTTGTAATTCTTTATGCTTTAATTAAGTTCCCTTATAATTTTCCAATTCCTTTTTTATTGTGACATAATCTTTTAGGTGTATTATATCAATAGGTTGTGAAATTTAGAACATAACTTAATATGTTAAAGAATTTTCTAGTATAAGATTTATATCTTACTTCCATGTGAATCCTAACATATTTGTAAATTTAATCAACAAGAATTAATTATTAAATGTCCGAAAATAAAGGAGTTATAATTACTTTTGATATCCATTCAATTAGTTATGAATTTATGTAGACAATTCTATATTTCAGCTAAACTCTATTCTAAAAATTCATTATAAGTCCGTTTTGTTTATTAACTTTTTCTTCTGTGAAAGTAACTTAAATTGAACTAATTTTTTTTTCCTTTCTTCAATTTCTTTGTAAAATGATTTGTTGTATCATCATCAAAACGCAAATTCGCTGCACAATAATTTTAAACTATTCTTATAGAAGAATAATCAATCAGAGAATCGAACATTCTTTTACGTTTTTAAATTGACATTTAATTGGTTAATTTAATTTTTAATAAATTATTTATAATATGATAATAGTTTAAGCAAATTTATGATAAAATGTGAAATATTAATCATGTTTAAGATGAATAGTTCTAATTTGATTTTTTGAGATTGATTTAATCTCTGGTAATTATTATTACCCTCTGATGTATTATTCACAATTGATCTATTTGACTGTCTTGTAAATTTTTTTGTTTTTGAGAATTTAAACTATGCCTTAGTTGCTTTCTTTATATCATATTTCTAGTATGAATCTTCAGATTATCAGATTTCTAAAAATATTGTTAACTGATTTAAAATTTTCAATTTCATGTTATAATTGTTACATTAATTCCTTCATTCAATCTTTAAATTTGTAATTAATATTATTCCATACTATATGCTTATTCACATTATAATCCACTATTATTTTTATTCCTCTTTTCTTTTTTAATCAAATTATAGCTTTAAAGCAGCTTTTCGAAAAATGAATTTTCTAAAGTTTATACTTTTAAATAATGCATTTTTATAATTAATTAACATATTATAAAAACATCAATTCATAATTCTTCTATTATTTCTTTTATTCAAGTGTCATGTTATCTTTATATAATAATTAATCTGTTTTAATTTATTTATTTGGATAAAGCATTTACTCATGCTTGATCCTCTCCTTGTTTAATTTTCTTGATAAGATTTATCTATTTTAACATTCATATCAAGAATTCTTTGATACGTAATTCTATTTTTTTGGGTGCGATTTTAGTTCTAAATTTATAATTTCTTATTCAGATATTTGATTCTCAAGTAAACTTTATATTTCTAACTATTAATCCCTTTAATTTTTAATGTATTAGTAAAGCTCAATTTCTTTTTATTTAATTCATCTATTTATTGTTTTATTTATTCAATTTAAGATAAAAGATTAGTTTATTCAATATTTAATCCAGAAATTTCATCTCAAGAATTTTAAAAGTTTATAATAAATTGTTAACTTATATATTCAATTTATCTATATTTTTTTATTGTTGAAAACAATATGAAGCTAAAAGCATATTGTCTTATTTTATATTTTGAATTTCTGACAAAAATTATCTATTTTTAAGAATTAGATCATTCAATTCTTTTAATTATTTAGCCAATTCAGTTTAATCTTGTCTTTCTTACTTATCAAATCAATTAATAAGATCTTATTTCAATTTATTAATTTATTACGAATTTCGTTGTCTAATTACTAATATTTTATAGAAATTTCCTCTTTTTCAAATTCGATTAATTAAATAGTATCTCTATAATTTGCTTTTTAATTTTCTTTTTTTTTTCAAGTTCTAATTTAAGTTATAAATAATTAATGCTAAATTAAATAATTCCTATTATTTTGTTATTGTTTGTATTGTTTAAGAATGATAGCATTATATTTTTCAATTTCATTTATAGTTTTTATATCCCATTTATAGATAAATAATTTAAACATTTTAGTTTCTGTTTCTTATACTTTATTTAACCATTCATAAACATCAACCATGTCATTTAGATTAATTTTAAGATCTCTCACTTTTTAATAACTCAGTAAATGAGCAAAGTTATTCCAAACAAAATTATAGAGCATGAATACTTTCCTTTAGTTTTGAGTTACTTTTAACTAATGGCTTATTTTTTTCTTATTTGTATTGGTTTAGGAATCTTCTGTAAATTTTATATATTCAATCAAATTTACATCTGATTTGAACTATAATTTTGAGTTTTCTATAAAACTTTTAAGTATTGGTGATATAATTAGATTCTTAGAGTTCATTGTTTTACGGTTTTTGACTTTTAATTACTTGATTTAGTCCTTAGTCATGATTGTATTCTGTTTATGCTGCTACTTGCATAAAGCATAATTTCATAATAATTTAAAAAATTTTTCAAAATTTTATTGGCGTCTAAAGTTGTTTGTCATTACTAGCTAGATTTATAAAAATGACACTTGTCATCATGTATTTCTACAAATTATAAAATAATAAATAATATCATAACCTAGATTAGTTTTAGATGAATTTAATTTCAAAATTAATTGATTTATAAAAACTCAATCAAGTTATATAACTACCATTTATTTTTATCAACTCCCATATTATTACACTTTCACTTGTTACTACAATACAATTATCAAATATATTACTTACTTAATAATAATTAATAAATATCTAAACTGGGGCTAAAATAAACTTTTTCACTGATGTTATTAAATTTCCAAATTTTATTATATTTTATTCCCTTTCATGATTTGTTCTTCAAACTGTTTCTAAAATTTATTTGCAAGTTCTTAAATATAATTACTTATTCTTTCTTAAAATTAAGTAAATATCTAATTTTAATTTTTAAATATTATTAAAATAAAATATTATTATCATAATGCTTCCTTACTCTAATTATTGTAAAGGATATTTAAATTGGATAAGATTTTATATAACTCTTACATTTTCTGAAATAATAAACGTTATTCAATTATTTATTAGAATAGCTTTTTATTAAAACGAAAGTGATTTAAAATAATTTTTACTAAGAAAATGTAACTATTGGGTTTATTATGTTCAATTTGATGAGAAGATTCAAAATTTTGACTTCGTTTCTCTCAATAATTACAAATAATTTAGTAATAATTAGTAATTTTAAATGATTTTTTGTCAGGTTTTTTGTTGGTAAATTTTATGCTTAAGTAATTTTGATCATTACTCAAATCAAACTCTATATCTTAAATCATAATATGTTAAAATTTATCTCATGTTCATTTTTATAATATCGAATAGTCTCACTCAATTCATAGAAAATTAAATGTAATATTTTTATTCTAACTATTTCATTTTTTCTTTCCTTAAGGCTTTCTTATATATACTGAAAATATTATAGGACTAGTTCTTTTTAAATTTCATTATATTCAAGATTCTAACTCCACAAATAACAAGCAGCTCCTCCTCTGCACTTCCCCTGCATTTATTAAAATATTAATAAACTTATAAATTCAGATATAGCAATAAATTGAAAATTAACATATGCTAAAAAAAACCCTCTCCAATATATTAAACTTGATTTGCATAAAAAAATATTATCTTAAAAGATATCGGATTAAATGCTAGTAGAATCTTACTAGTACAAGCCTCTGAAGTCTTGATGAGGCATAGCAACCATTTGTTAATATTTTAATTCCTTGCTTAATGTAATTCATTATGGAGGAGCCGGTTAGATTAATTAATCCTGTTAAATTAATAAAAAATAAACTAGAGCCTGTCAAGAGTTTTAAAATTTTTGTAAAGCCATTTTTATTCTCTTTGATTTTGAATTCACAATATGAATAAATATTTTATTTGATGCGCAAAATCTTGTTTAAATTAATAGCCATTGTATTCTTATCATAATTTGATGAAAGATGATTTCAATAATTTTCGAAAAATTTATTCTATAGAGTTAATTAAAATGCATCTAGAAATCTTTTTTCCTAAAGGTTTTACTTACTTTATACTATAAATTGTATAAAAGAGCTTTAGTATGAGAGCTTTATAAATAAATACCAGACATCTTTTTAAATTTAAGAAAGAATCTATTCTACTGAAAATATAAATATATTTAATGAAAAAATAAAACACTAATTTAATGATAAAATATGCTTCCAAACTCACATAAATTTCAATTCAAATATTTCACATTCTAATATTGGTTTATCTTATCCAAATAAATGATTATAAGCTTCTTTCTGTTATTTATTCCATTCATATGAATCACCTAATTTAGAATTACCACTTTTAAAATCAGAGTTTATATATCGATCCGAACCTCCTCCAAATGCAGGCCCAAATCCAGAATTACAACAAATAGCATATTATTTTTATTCTTATTTCAAAGGATATATCTAATCATGTGTTTACGAAAACAAAAACGATGATAATGAATCATCTTAAACCCAACTCTTATCAGATAACCATTAATATGGAGAATATCCACCAAAGATATATCCACTCTAGGATTAAAATACCATAAGTAAATTACTCTTCCCATTACATTT